AGGCGAGCCTGTGGAGGAGCTGCTGGCTCAGTTCCTACCCAGACTGAAGTAAGCCAATAGGAACCACAAAGGGTGGTATCAAGTGGTGGCCGCTGATGCAAGCTGTGTCCAGCCTACCCCAGCCCTCAGCAGGACATCAGGGTTCCTGAAGAGTTATGATTGTCTCCTGTCCCTAACCAGTCCTGTCTGAGCTACACAGTGAGTTGTTGCTCTTGGCCCTGTAATGATATTGGTAGATACCCTGACCAAACAAGGAGCCTGGACACCTACACTATACACCATACAGGCATTATTAAAAAACTGCTATTCTTCTACCTTTAGTAAAAGCAATTTTTGTTTCCTCACTACTAGTAAGCATGTAAAAGCTGGAGAAAAGCTTATCTTACCAAGACAGGCTATCCAACATGCCATTCAATGCAAGCAGTAAAGGGTATGTTGCTGCCTTGCTACAAACAGCTGGACTCAGACACATCCACAGATGTGAATGTTTCTCTTTTTTTCTTCTCCCTTAGGTTGCTCTGTACAAGTCTGTCTCCATCACAGGGTCATTTCAAGCAGCAGGACTGTGTTTAATTGCATGCAGACACCTGTACTTACTCCATCAAGGAGTACACAAAAAACAATCCCCATAGAGGTAGGTAAGGACATGAACAAAACACTTCCAGGCAACCATCCAAAGACTTCCCGAATGCTGCCTACCACCCTCTGCTGGCATGTGAACTCCTGCCATGTGTCATGTCCCCGTCAGACCCAACTGAGCTGCCTTTGACCGTTTTGATTCAGAGTGCTTTCTTTATTTGCCTTTGGGGTTAAACAAGTACAGCAATTGCCTGCTTTGTGTGGGGAACGGTTGTTAGGGCGACTGGGAGGAATTCCTTGGCACCAGCACTAGGGTAAGAAAGGAATGAGCAGAAAAATGCTCAGCCAGAGTCAGCAGCAGAGCAGAGGCAGAGGCAGTGTAAGCCAAGGGTGCTTTGCTGTGACTGTGTTAGTGCCTCGCCCTGACTCTCCCACGGGCAGCAGAGGGACCCTGGGCAGGGAGGGTGCTCTGAAAAGCGAAGTCAACACACCCTTCACTAACCTCTGCAAACTTCTGGGCAGAGTCCCCACAGCACTGTCTGTACTCACTGACCCCAGGGCTCATCCTCCTGAGCCACAGAGGTGCTGAGGGGAACCAAGTCCTGAGGTTTTACTCTGTTCCTCCTTCTGTGATTGAACACCCCCACAACACACAGATGTCAGTTTTCTCTTTTGATACTTGGTTCAGAGCTGCTTGCAGTAATAAAGGAAACTTGGAAAACTAAGCTGTGCTAGTGATTTTCAAAGGAAAATAAACCTATTTTGGGGTCATTTTCGCTGTGAAACATGGTTCAAAGGCACAAGACTAAAGGGCAGGGTGAGTAGTGAGCTGCCAGATAGGTGAGTCCAATTTGGTTTAGGCTTTAACTGCTTTATTTTTGCACTACATATGCTCTCCTTGCTCAAAACTGCTGCCTTCCCCATCTGCTCCTGTTCTCCACCCAGGTCACACCTCTTTCATAAACAGACAATAACTTTGTTTGCATTGGCTTTCTGGCAAATTTACACAGCTCTCCCATTTAGAGATTGGATTTCAGGTGATGGTGAGCTGATTAGTAGATGTAAGGGGATTTGCTCTTAAGAATTGTGAGGATATTCAGCTGTATCCTTTTAAGCAGTGATAAACAGGAAGAAAAGGAAGATAAAAAGGGAAAGGAGAAACAGAAGGTCGTGCCTGGTCTCTAGGCTTGTCTGCATAGTGGCTTAAAATTTGCCAATGAAATTAGTGTAGTTTGCACAGTGAGGCAAGCATGCAGCTGCTGGGACAAGAGAGTGGCATAAGATACTGGAAGGTAGCGCCAAGTGCTGTTAGTAACGGGTGTAGAGCTGCAAGACTTGTAGGTAAGGGGTAATATCCAGACCTGGAAAGCATAATACTATGTGAGTTTGGTGGTTTCTCTTATGCATAAAGAAAATAATTCTGCAGTTTGCTGAACTGAGTCCTCATCAGAGATACAGTTCTACATAGTACTGCTTACAGACTGTGGATTAGGGAAAGGTATCCATTCTGTAGCCTTGCAGCAGTATATCTGTCTTCTCTTTGGTCTAAGGGGTATGCTCTTATTCATCCAAATTTAAGTAGTTATCTTAAATGGTTATTGCAGAAGTGCTTTGCCCAACAGTCTCTCTCTGTGTTTGGTCTTGTTTCCTCAATGATTCTATTTGATTTCCAAGTTCCTGACTGTAAAAACAATCAAATTAAGACTTTGGGGTGAAATTCCCAATGAGCTGTGCTGGTTTTGTTAGGCTTGAAAAAGTTCTATTAGAAGTGAAGCCATGAAGTAAAATTGCTGAGCAGTTGAGAGCATGGTTTTCATAAGCTTTCATGTTCTAAAGCTGTCAGCTCTTGGCCTGAAACTTACCAGGCATAGGGCCAGACTTCCCAAACCTGTAGATGGAAAAGGGGGCTGCCTCTGCACCCTAGAAGACTTCAGTCATTGTCAGATTAAATTAGAGTATCCTTTAGACTGCTCTCATTCAAACTAGAACAGAACAGCCAGAGTTTAATGGGTAGCAAAAGCTTCTTGAAGTCATGTCAGTCATGCACCTTTTGAAGTCTATTTACACCTTTTTGTCATGCATTAAATGTTTCTGCAATTTGAAAAAGGTTGAGCAAAATCCTGTTTGTGATTTCTTTTATAAATTCCCTTACACTGGCTGAGTATGTATTGGGGCAACCCCAAAGTCACTGATTTAAGCTTGGGAAGTCTCAAAGGCAGAGTCAAGAAAAGGTAAGTACACTGATACCTTCTTCATTTTGTCTAGCTGAAAATGAATTTGGACTAAATGGCTTTAAAATTAACAAATCAGACCTCATTATGGTGCAAGATGTTCTGCTGGAGGTTGCTGCCCACTTTTGCTGGCTGATGGCTATGTTGGCCAGTTTAACTTGTGCGAGGAAGAGGGGTATTGGACTGTAGTGTCTACCTCCTGCTCCACTGCCTGTGAGTGCTGACTGCTCTGGTCTGTATTAAGACTGTGCAGCCCTGCTCTGAGCCTTGCTGCAGGTTTTGGGTTCTCCAGACCGTTCCTAGATCATCCTAATTGATTTCTTCAAACCTGGCCAGTGTTTCTATGCATTAAAACCCCCTGGTGTGCCTCTTTACAGACTTTTCAGTTCATGATGGCAAGAATGAACACTTGGGCTTTTTTCCACTTTCTGTCTGGTTTGATCTCTGTTCCTCTCTGTGACCTACAGCTGTTTGCTGTAACTCTGATTTTCTGTTTAGAAGGTCTTCTTTGTCCTTGGAGTCATCAAGAAAGCTGATCTCCATGGCAAGTTGACCCTATTAAATCCCAGTACAGGAAAAAGGCGTATGTGGGCATCTAAGCACAGTCCTGGGATCCAGCAAATCCACCCTGCTTGTGAAGGCACCTTACTCCCAGGAGGAGGACTGAGGGACTGCTCATGAGTTCTCCTTGCTGTGTACTATTGATCAACCTGACTCTCATAAACCAAGCCAGTGCAGATCCAAGAGCATGTTTATTGTGCCAACGACAATTCCTCCTCCTTCACAACTTGCCCTTGCTATATGATGGATGTGTTGTGGGCAGGAGCAACTGGCACAGCTCATTCTTTTGGGAATAGCCAGGGTAACTTCCCAGGCCATCAGGACCCTTGCTGACTTATCTGAAATAGCAGTGTGTGGGAAGGAAATAAGAGAGGCCAATAGTTTTGTGTTTACCCAGCATCCCATGTGGGTCTGTAAATGTGAGACAGGACAAAGCTCCTATATAGCAAGGGTTAAGATATAGCTGGTGGGAATGTTTCTGTCAGGGCAGCTTTCCATTGAAAATAAATAAATAAATGCTGGCATGGGTGGATTCTGACAAAAGTCTAGACAGGAAAATATTGCTACAACCATAAGATGTTTCTGATGATTTCACAGAAACATTTTTCAAAATTCAAGCGTTAAGAGTTGTCCAGCTCCTTTTTTTTATTATTATTCTTTTCTTTAAAAATAGAAGTTTCACACTCAGCTCTTAAGCCTTAACATGTCACAGCAGCTAGTGCAAACTCTATTATTTCTTTCCTGGGGTTGGCATTACTGAAAGTCGTTAGCCTTAAATGTGTTGGTCCTATGTCACCCTAGAGATGATTTGTGACTCATACTGTGGAAGTCTAGGGATGGAATGGGAGGGACCTCCTAAGTGTCTGTACAGCTGCTGCTTTACTGAGCTTTGCTGTAAGGTGCAGGATATGGATGGTGTAGAGTGTGGCTGGGTGTGTGGTTTGTTTGGTTTGGATTATTTTTTGTGGTTGATTGTTGGGTTTTTTTATAAATTTTTGAAGGCAGAGAGGCAGATTTGAGCGGCAGAGGAGGGTTTGTTAAATTTCTAGCGTTTTGTTTTGCAGTGTTCCAGATCAGTAGAAAGTGTTGGCAATAATGAGTTACTTACTCTGTTGTAGCAGAATTCACCTAGTCTCAGTGCTAAGTTTTATGATGAGGAATTACCTGGTTGTAATTTGCATGTTGTTTCTGTGCCAGAGGCCAAAATTTTAGCAGGGAAGGGTGTGTGGAGGGAAAAGCAGTGGAAAAATTACAATGAGTCAACAAGGTTGACTGCAGGGTTCCTCACAAGGGAAGCCTCGTTTATTAAGCAACTCAGTCTCTCCCTGTGAGATCATATGTGAAAAACAGGTTGAGCCACATCTGAGGGTGTTGCCCTGTGGAATTTGTAGATCAGGATGCTTTATACCTGCGTGTGCCCAGTAGAGAGAGGCCAGTTACATTCGGTGGCTGCCAGCAGGAACAAGCCTCCAGAGGAATACAGTTATTCCTGTTTTCTTGTGGTAAGTTTATTGAAAAGAACTTCTGTTTCTTCCTCTCTTCCCTATATCTTTTCTTCAAGTCTCAGACTCCCTAACCATGAGGTGTGATACAGGTATTCTTCTTCATCAACAGATCCAGGTGTCACTACTGAGACTGCAATGGCATGGTGGAAAGCCTGGGTAAGTAGAGGATATATTGACACCCAGAGGGTTTTTGGTACTATAATACAGTAGCTTATAAATTGCATCAGACACTGTGTGGGAATGAAAAGTTTCCATTTAACAATCAGCAAGACCTATTTACTGATTTTTCTAGCTATAAAATAGCATTCAGCACTTCAAAAACATTGATGAAGGAAGGTGTTAATATGATTGCTCCTCTTCTTCTAGCCAGCAAACTCTCCTGGCCCTTCAGTTGAGGATGGTGTAGGGAGTTGTCTTGTGCCTGTATATATGGAGAACACTGTGTACCACTGTACCGCGGAACAGCAAAGTTACACAGCTGAGGTCTGCAAGCTGTGGGCCCCTTGTCTGCTCCCTTCTGTATGGCAGTGAGTTCAGGGCTCTGACCTGTGCCCAGTTTGGTCCCCCGTTGCAGCGGTAGGCTGTGATCACAGAGGAAGATGTGGTCAAGCCACAATGTCTTTCTTTGGTGGGTTTTTAATGCTGCAACAACAATGTGTCCTTGAACACCTTGTCTGTTTGGTAGGAGCCAGAGTTGCTGTGTATGTTCTCTTGTAAACTCTTGCGGCTTTGAGAGGAATGTGCAGGATGGGGAGATGCTCGTGGGGTGTGTTGAGGCAGCCTCTGGGATCTGGCTCAGGGCAGATAGCAGGTAGTTCTGATGGCATGCACAGCAATGCTGCCATCCATGGCAGCTCTCCCATTAGCTTCTGTGGGAGGCCAAGTTTGCTCCCAGCCTTTATCTCCAGGTGTTTATAAACCAGAGTCTAGAAGAGACCTGCTGGAGACATGCAGTGGAGGAGTACTGGTAGAGAAGTCTTCTTTCCTAGTCCTAACCCCTGTCCAGCACCACTGCCAGTAGTGCACAGGCTTTCTCTGGAATGCTGTTGGCTTGTTTGTGGAAAGATTTGTCCCAGAGTCTTGCTTGTTGTGAAGGCATCTTCATGTTTCAGCAGCCTGTGCATGGGGTAAGCCTGCACTGAGGCTCCAGTGCTGCTGCTCTTCTCTCAGCTGGGGCATCGGAGTCCTGGCATTGGTGACTGAGCAGAGGGTGAGGGACCTCTGCCACATGCCAGCAAAGATGCTCAGGAAGCATAGGAGAACTCTCTTACAGTGTATTATATTGGCTCTGGTGCAGTATAGCCATCAAGGAGTGAGAAACCACTCTGCATGGAGATGGCCATTTTTCAGGTTTTCACTTAGTTTTGCAACAGAAGGGCAAGAACTGGAGGAAACAAAAAAAACAAACAGAAAAAACCAAACCAACCCCAAAATACCTTGTGGAGTAAGGATTACCAAATAATTCCTATTTTCTTTCACTAGGCTTCAGTTAGGAATCTTTCCTGATCTTAAAATATATCATGATTTTATTTTCCCAGAAGGATCAAAATTGTAATCTTCCTTTCTGCTTGAGTTCCCTCTGCTTCTCTATTTCCTTTTTGGAAGTGTAATATAATAAAACAGATGCTTTTTCAAAGCTTGGAGTAGCTTCACCTTAATTTTTAATTTTCTATTGATGTGTTTCCCACTACCCCCAAGTTGGAAATAATTTCTAAACATAGAAGGAGAAAAGCTCTTGCAAACTCCAGCATTCTCTTACCTGTCAGCATTGTAGGGGGTGAAGGCATGAGAAGAAAGCGAGAGGTCCAAAGAAGGACAGGGAAAAGTGGCTTTTGTTTTCTAAGCCCTTCATAAAAAATACAGTTCAAAAGCAAAAAAAAAATAAAAAGGGAAAAATGTGAATTTTTTTCAGAAACTTTATACTGAAAGAACACCAAACATTAACCCCTCCTGTCCGCAAATTCCAGCTCTTCAATAAACTATTGCTTAGGTTTGAAAATACTTTGGTAGGAAAACTTTTAATTCTGCTCCGCTTCATTTATAGGTAAGACTTTTCAGAGCATCAGCTGTAAGGTACTTTGATTCCATGGCTTTCATGCCAATTATTCATGTTAATATGAGTCATACAGATGTCTCGAGTAGTTTCAGCTAGGTAGTTGTATGATCAATTCAACAGGGAAACAAGACCAAACTTAACAGGGTTTCTCTGAAACCTGGTGTTGTACCTGTGCTGCAACAATTATGTACCCAGAGAATGAGGTGTACGAGTGAGTCATGAATGTGCTGGTTGACCCTGGATGGGCTGTAACTGTTTATCGGAATTAGTACCAAAAAAGATCATTTGTTTAATTTGTTTCCACTGCCTCCGAATGAAGGCTCAGCTTTGCACTCCCTCTCTCACTGAGTCACCAGGCATGGGTCCAGAATGTTTTCTTCGCCTTTTTTTTTCTCCATGTGGTCCTTGCATGCAGCTAGAGAGGATTCACCATCTTTTTTTCAGAGCAAAATCAGATGGATGAATGTAACCTGCTTTTCAGGGAAGCTGTGATGGTGCTGGCTGTCTTAACAGAAGGCTAGAAAAGGAGAGCTTGAAATGGTCCTGCCAGCTCGGCCAAACTCTTCTAGGCCCATAACAAACTGCTGGAGGTGTGAATGCCACCTAATCTGTCACTGCTTTTTCTGCAGTGACAGCTTCACCGCAGCCTTACACTTGCTGCTCGGTGATCATTTGGATTCAAAGCTGCATCTGTTCAGAAGTTTTCTTTTGGCACCACCTGCTCACTGCTGCTTTTTCTGCTGGCAACAAGGTGTGATAGTGCAGGACTCTGTGCTGGCTACAAAGCAAACTTCTCCAAGTCTTGCTGATTCCCTCAATACTTGTCATTGCCTCTTGGTCACTGCTCCCAAAGCTTGTCTGGCAAAGAGACCAGCATGTAAATATGTTACAGATGCATCTACTGGTACTCCTTCACACAGGAAATAAGAGCAGAGGGGATTTACCTCATGGCTAGAGGGTGGCACTTGGTGGTCCATGTTATGCAAGTCAGAAGGAACAACCATAGTGATTCTTTCTGGTCTGTGAGCTCTGATTTTTATCTGACTGTCAAGGTACCCCTATTAAAAAATCCATCAGGTCATGCCAATAACAGTCAGCAGGGAACTTTAAGAATAGAGTAGCTTCCAACTTAAGTATATTTTCAACTAAGAGAAATTTGTGTCCTTTACCGAAATAAAGTGGTGATAGCTCTTCATGCCTAACCACCCAGATACTTCCCTGTTGATAGGACCAGCTTGTTAGAGAGGCATCAATATATTCAAGCCAGTCCCTTGACTAACAACTTTTCTAAACTGAAGCTCTTGTGCCTTAGTTCTGGTTGATGGCCTGACTGCCTTGTGGTGACTGGAATTAGTCTCAGCGTATCTTTCTGCCCTGGGACTCTGGCACTGTCAACACCTAGGGGTTTGTCAGGAGGATTCTCCCCTGAGCCTACTCTTCTCCAGGCTAAACAATCCCAACTCCCTTAGCCTCTCCTCATAGCACTTGTGCTCAAGACCCTTAACCAGCCTCGTTGCTCTTCTCTGGACCTGCTCCAGCACCTCAATATCCCTCCTGAACTGAGGGGCCCAGAACTGTACACAGTATTCAAGGTGTGGCCTCACCAGCACCGAGTACAGGGAAAAAAATCACCTCCCTGGTCCTGCTGACCACGCTGTTCCTGATACAGGCCGGGATGTCATTGCCTTTTTGGCCACCTGAGGATCCCTTCCTTCAAAATCCCTTCCTTCTAGGATCACATCCTTCAGTGGAGATGGTTTCTTCTTGAAACCAGCTGTGCAGAAGTGTATCAGCAGATATTTAGAAAAATGGTCTGTGAGAACAAGACTGTTCCAGGAAATCAAAAAGCTATCTAAAAACTACCCTGCACCAACCCACTGGGAAATGCAGTATGAAACAATAGTATACATGCTGTGACGCATTGTATTTAAGAGGTGAATAGGAAAGTCCAGTCTACTACAGTCTATGCTTTGTCTGCCAAGACTGCCTGCACCTAATGACTCTTGCAGCAGTGTCAGCCATGCTTTGCATTTCATGTTTCTGCCAGGAGCCAAAGGCTGGTATGGGCAGGTGGAGACAGGAAACTTGTGTTCTCTTTTTTGCTCTGCTGAGAGACTTTTAACAAGTCTCTCCTAATTCCTGTGCCTTCCCCATGTGTAGGCAATAACTAACATTAATGTACTTTTCGAATACTTTTTCTTCAGCTGATGAAAAACAATGGTGAAAAGTTCTGTATTTTTCTTCCTCTTTTAGAGCGAAGCAGAGGGCAAGGCTGTGACTGGTGCTTTAAACTTTGATGCCTCACCTGATGCCCAGATTCTCTACAAGGCCATGAAAGGGCTTGGTAAGTTGACTACAACTACATGCATAAATTCTGTGTTGTACTTCTAATTGGCAAGTTGAAAGCCATTCCTTAAGAAATTTGCAGAGAGAGATATATCAGTTTTGGTGGGGGTTGATGTGAAAAATTAAAAATTAAAGTTTCCTCAGTACATTCTTGAACTTCTACATGAAGGCGATGAACCAGGCAAGGCTGTCTGAATATTCAAATTGGGATTTTGGTCTAGTCTCTAGTTATTCTGTGCACTGTGTTTATGAGTTATTGTTGCTCTCCACAGGGACTGATGAACAAGCTATAATTGATGTCCTAACCAAGAGGAACAATATGCAGCGTCAAGAGATTGCCAAATCCTTCAAAGCACAGTTTGGAAAGGTTCTTTCAAAACAAAGTCATATTCAGTCACTGTTTTACTGCACGTAGAATGTAGTAAATAGGTGTACAGTTTGTCCTGCAAGCATGATGCAAACAATGTGCAGGTCTTCTGCAAATAAGTAGATCAATATCTATTTATAAGGCCTGGGATGGATGTTTGAAATTAATTTTTGACCAGAAAAGTTGAGTTTTCTCCCAAATATTAAAATTTTTTTGGTAAAATGCATTTTGACCAGGAATATTTTTTAAAGTAAATCTTAACTTAAAGTGCACTTTCTTATTGTTTTAAACTGTAACAATAATTGATACCTTTCTAAGTGACATGTTGAGTAAAATATTGATTTGGTTTTGGGCCTTTTTAAATGTCAAAGAAAGTTCAATTTAAAGGCTTATTTAATTACACTTGTTTGGAAATTCTGAAAATGGAAACAATCAGAGCTTATTGACAACCATGTTTTGACACTCTTTCTTTCTTTGATAAAATCTTTCTTTTATCGGGAAACTTTTCCACCAGCAAACTGTGCCACCAGCTTTACTCTGCAGTCTCTAACGACCCTTGCTGGAAAGGGCACTGCCATGCAAGGGCCTCAGAAAGGGAAGCAAATATGGGGGCACCGAGTGTGGAACAATGAATAAATAGAATACTTGCATACCACTAAAAAGGGCGAGTCATACCCTAGAAAGACCTGTATTATAGTGAGAGGAAAGTTTGAGGTGTATCTTCAAGCATCTGCGAATGTCCTGGGTGCACATTTATGTGCAGGCTTTGGGAATCAGCTCCCTCTGAAGCTATACCCTTGCTTAATCAAAGCCTTCAGCTGCCTGATTCTGCTCACTGAGTAAAGCAGGGTAGATCAAGATTTGCTGCAGGATTAATTAGTACCTGGGAGAAGCATGAGTGCTGAGCAAACAGGGAATGTGGAAGGACCTAGACAATCTTTTTTGGAGTTAGGTGCCTTTTTCAGTACCAGAACCCTTTTTAACGAACTATCAACACAATGCTATCATTCAGCTTCATTGCTGTTGGCCATGAGGATGGAAACAGCATGGGCGCAGCAGAAAAATCCTGTGAGACTTTTTATATAACTGTGTGATTCATGTCTAACAGGATCTGATTGAAAGCCTGAAGTCTGAACTGAGTGGCAACTTTGAGAGGCTCATTGTAGCTCTCATGTACTCCCCATACAAGTATGATGCCAAGGAGCTGTATGATGCCATGAAGGTAAGAGAACTGCGTGCTGATAATTAAGTAGATGCACAAATAGAGTATGAATTTCCTGGACTTGTTATATAATTGTTTGTTATTAGCCTTTGAGAAATAGTTAATTGTACTATTGACACATATTCTGAGGGAAAATGCTGCTTTAATGTTTATGGCTATAAGAGAGTTTCTGTACATACATGTCTCATAGAGCCAACAGCAAAACTAAATTCACACACAAAGCAGTGGCCCTGATGCTTTACATGAGCCATGAAACCTTTAGGAAACCAAGGAGTAGTGGTGCAAGGGCCAGACTGGGACTGTCTGGTATCCTACCTATTGATACTCTGTCTTTACATGTTTCAGGTGCAGAGTGGTCTATTAAAATGGTACAAAGATGAACTGACTGGCCAAGCATTGATCTCCCTGCATCTCTCTAATGCTGTCTTCAAATATCTGACTCCAGAGATGCATTGCAGAAGTGTAGGGTTACATAAAATCATCCTTTAGGAATTGGGAACCTCAGTAAAAGAAACAATGTTCAAACCAAATGTGCTTTGTATCACCAGCTTTCATCATGATGGTTTTTTACAGCTCAGCACATAGACTGGTACTTTGCTGCCATCCAGCTCCTCCCTTGACCATACTTCTCTGCCAATAAATTGCACTCCATGACTAAATGCCTTTCTTTACCTTTATTTCTCCACTCTGCTTTCTTTTAAAGGGTTTGGGAACCAGTGAAGGTGTTATCATAGAGATTCTGGCTTCTCGGACAAAAGCGCAGATCAAAGAGATAATCAAGGCATACAAAGAACGTAAGTGCCTGGGGCTCAGATTTGTGTAGTCACAGCAAT